AATATTTTTTATGTAACGTGGATGGTGTCAAAGAATCAATATCTGACAAGAGTATTGTTTTTAAAAGATCATTCTTTTCTTTCTTTCTTTTTTTTCGTAATTATTAAGCTCAAAAATATTTTTTCTATCACAATAAATCAAAGAGATATTTAGATGGCCTTATTTAAAGGAATCACCCTATATATAAAAACATATATATATATATCTGTTTTTTATTTCTTATTATTTCAATAATAAAATCGAATAATGTCGAATTTATTCGTATACTTGAATTTCTTTATTCATTTTACTTGGTTAGTGTTTATACCGCGAAACAAAATGATTTTGGTCGAACCGATTTCATAGTAGATAATTACACGGTACGCCTGTACACCGCTATTTCCTGCTTGTTAAGGTAAACCGCAAATTACGAAGCACCGCCACGAATCCACGCGAAACGTTTCTCTTTCATTAAAACCCTTCGACTTTGATTAATAAAAAGATGGTGGGTGGTGAGCACGGCGACGACGAGGGAGATGGGTTAAAGGGAAAAAACTAGTTTTCAAAGGTAACACGATTTAATATATAAGATCGAGGAAAAGTTCGATACAAGTTTTCAATCCACTATATATATATATATATATATATTTGTAAATATATCCAGATAAGTATATCACATTATGTATAATACGAAAACAATATTCTATTTATCTTTATTTAATTACGTATATTATATACTGCAATATATACATTCGAATATAAAACAAAAACAAAAAAAAAAAGAAAAAAAAATAGGAGGAAAGAAAAAACTAATTAAAAGATCACAACTTTAAAGCTACCATTTATATTTTGCCCTAATAAAATATTATATTCCATATCTTTCAACGATAAGAGCATTATGTGTAAATATATATATATATATATATATATATATATATATATAAAGGACGCAAAAGAAATAAATAAATAAATGAGTAAAAAAAGGATAAAGAAATTAGATAAAAATTCAAATGAAATGTATTGACGTTGGATTGCAAAAAAGAAAAGAAAAAAAAAGAAACAAACAAACAAACAAACAAATACAACAAAACGAAAAAACAAAACGAAAAAACTGAGGAATATACTCGCAATCGATACTTGTAAATGGAAAAACAAGGGAGAAGAGAGGAGAGACAAAAGGAAAAAATGCAAAAGTAAAAAAAAAAAAAAGAAAAGAAAAGAAAAGAAAAGAAAAGAAACAAAGATAGAGAAAAAATGAAACAAGGAGAGCAATAAATGGGATGGGTTGGATAGTAGTCAAGGGGAAAGGGAGGAAGGGAGGGAAGAGTAGGGAAGGAGGGAAAGAGAGGACTATATCTTGACCGTTTAATTCTTCCGTTATCAGAATTTGTAGCCTATCCTCTCGAGTTATTTTTGCTCGTTCGATGTGCCTCGCGAAAAATAATCTCGAACGGCACGCGATCGAACTTTCGCATCGTCTCGAAACTGGACAGGATAACAAATGATGAGAGGAAGAGGGACGAGAAACTCTCTCTTCTCTCTCTCTCTCTCTCTCTCTCTCTCTCTCTCTCTTTCTCTCTACACACACACACACACACGCATATATATATATATATATATATATATATCTTTACGTAGGTTGAAATTATTCACTAGGGAAAAGATAGAAATATGAACACGCACACACGCATGCACTCACATACACACACACACTATATATATATATATATTTATATATATTTATATATATATATATATATATATATATATATATATATATATTGACAGACACATACAGATACGATATATCCGGTTTGTCATTTAAGATAAATGAATGTACGCAAATTCATTCATATGTACGATCAATCTGTATTGACATAGAATATATATATATATATGTGCGTGTGTGTGTGTGTGTGTGTGTATATATATATATATATTTATATATATGTATATCGGTACACGAGTGGATCGAAAGTTTTTAATCGATTTTAAAAATCAATTACATCTCATCGAGGAAGTATCAGGCATGTTATGAGGTTTGTACTTTAGCAAACTATTATTGGCTTTTTTTTTTTTTTTTTTTTTTTTTTTCTGGAAAAATGAAAACAAGAAAGAAAAAGATTGATGGTTCTTGAAAAAAGATCTTAAAAATGTAATGATTGATCTTTTAAAACGATCTAAGAACTATTGATCCATATAGAAAATCTTAACTCAATTTTTATTGTTATAAGAAAGAAACTAACGCGTTTAAATATCTATGTCGATATTTTTATATCAACTTATTATTTATGATGAATAATATCGTATGGAAAATTTTTTTAATTAATTTGTTGAATTATTTTTTTTTTAAGAAAAAAAAAAAAAAAAAAAAAAAAGGAACATACAGATTCAACATACAGATTTTTATATATGATCATTACATTAGAAAGTTCATTAGAAAAGGAATAATACCGAATAGATCGAATTATTCATAATTATTAATAATACTTATAATTAATAATTAATAATTTTAAAATTTCATTTGTCATCGGCAATAAATATAATTTTCTTAGATTCGTAATACCTATTTCAAAAGTTCTATGTTTAATCATGATACACATATTAGACACACATACATACATACACACACTTACACACATATATATATATATATATATATATATATATATATATATATATATATGTAAGTACATAGAAACGTACATCAATCTATCGGTATTATCGATAAGAGGCTCGATTTGGTACAATGATCTATCTGTCGACACATGATCGATGATCGTACGATCTTATCTTTGTCTTCCATGAAACTTGGCGATACTTAAGCTAAAGACCATATCGATAATATTTATTCAATTTTATCTATTCTTATATATTTAGCTCAGACATATACCGTGTATCTTATAGATAAGAATTTTTTTTAAATTTAAAAAAGAAAAAGAGAAAAGAAAAAAAAAAAAAAAAAAAGAAAAAAATCTTTTCTTTTTTCTCTCATTTTTCTTTTTTTCTCTTTTTTCATTCTTTCTCTCTCTCTCTCTCTCTCTCTCTCTCTCTTTTTTTTTTATTTCTTTTTATTTATTTATTTTCTTTTTTTTTTGCTTGTAGGATAAAAATCGTCAAACGTCGATAGAATTTTTTCTTTTCGTTTTTACGAATCGATTGATCGATCGACTTGTGCCGGAAATTTTTTAAATTGAAGAATAAAAATCATTTAGAAATTAATCGATTTTTCTTTATCAATTTTATATTTATCTTATTTACCGTTAATATATTGATAAAATATTCTAGGAAAGAAATATATAAGAATTGAAATATGAAGAGAATTAAATGTAGTATGTACGAGAATTGAATTCTTCTTTTTTTCTTTCTTTTTTTTTTTAGAGAACGATAAGCATTTTAAAATATAATTGATGTTACTTTATTTATCGAGTCTGTATATATCGACTGTTTATGTTATTTACAAATTTTTTACAAATTATTTACAAATTATTATTTACAAATTATTATTTATAATAATTACAAAATTATTATTTACAAATAATTTTGGATGAGGGATAGGTTATCATTAAAAAAAAAAAAAAAAAAATAAGATTTTTAAATAAGCAATAACAAAAATATTTTCAGTTCGTTCGATTTTTCGTTATTAATCAGTTCGTTTATATTTCATTTTTTTTTTCTTTTCTTCTTTTCTTTTTCTTTTTGTTCTTTTTTTTTTTTTTTTTTTTTTTTTTATTCGAAGAATAAAAATCGTTAGAAATTAATAGATCTGTCGTTTAAAAAATTTTATCGAATGTGTTTTGAATGTCAAAAGAAAAAAAAGAACAAAAAAAATACTGCTTCTCAATTCGATGAGATTGATTGAAAAACAAAAATTGAGAAGAGAAATAAGCAAGAAAGAAAGAAAGAAAGAAAGAAAGAAAGAAAGAAAGAAAGAAAAAAAAAAAAGAAGAAAAGAAAGAATTGAATTTTTAAGAAGAATGTCAATCGTTAGAAATAATTAGATTTTTCGTTATTAATCGCGAGAGTCAGTTCATCGACTGCCTCGAGCATACACGCATTAGATGTCCTTAATCATTCTGCCTCGCCTACCGTGAAGCGAATGAAATTATCTCGCAACGTAATCCATCGGTGCGCAACGAATTATGCAATTAATCCAGATTGACTTTAAATCGAATCGTCGGACGTTCGCTGTTTTTAAATCAAACCATCACGTTCATTACGTGTGATCTTTCTTTGATATTTATGTACGTACGTATGTACGTACGTATGTACATATTTACAATGTACAATGTACAATAAGTACATAAAAGAGATATATTAGATATACGTACATATATGTGTTATTTTGTTATTAATTAATTGTTTTTTTTTCTTTTTCTTTTTCTTTTTCTTTTTCTCTCTCTTCTTCTTAAAAATAATAACTATAAATTTCTTGTTACTTTTTTTTTTCTTTTCTTCTTTTTTTTTTTTTTTTTCTGGACAATTAAATATGTTCTACGTAAAAAAAATTTTGACCTCTGTTTATATATATATATATATATATATATATATATATATGTTCAAGAATTTAATAAAATAGATAAATTTTATTAAATATAAAATACAAATTGAAAAATTTTATTTCTATTAGATATTATATCGTTTTTTTTTTTTTTTTTCTTTTTAATATACACGCATACACACATATGTATGTATATATGTATTTCCAATATAATCGTATAATAATAAATGTACTTTTATAAATTACAATAAGATAACAAGAATAATTTATTATAATTTATTATTACAATTTTAACATAAGATCGTTTATTTTTATCGCGTGATATAATTTCTATTGTATATCTTATATTTGATTGGACGATCAATTAAGCTTTTCGGAGAAGTGAATTACGCTTACAAAGAAATATAATCGATGACTAAAGTAGAATTATATACCGTTTCGTAATGTAACTCAACTCAACGGATAAGTACAAGCGAAATAGAGATAAGGCAGCTTTAGATAAAACGCTTGAAACGTTTATACCATATGATTTTGATCTCAGTTACGCCCAGACCGTCATAAGTTACTCTCATAAAATACGTTTCGGTACTCGTTTAACGCTAGGAAAAAAAAAAAAAAAAAAAAAAAAAAAGAAAAAAAGAAAAAAATTCTCCTTAATAGTGAAATAACGAAGAGATAATAACAGAGAAAATAATAATAAAATAGACAAAAAAAAATATACATATATATATATATATATATACATATACATAGATAAATAAAGTGTACATATCGTATTATAAATAAATCAACGAAAGAAAATGCCAGGTAAAAGAATTTCATCATTGAAAAATTTTCTAACCTGCTGTGTAATTAAAAATTTAACTTTTAACAAATTTTTAATATCGATTAAAAGATACATTAAATTCACGTGTCATTCACTTCTCTCTCTCTCTCTCTCTCTCTCTCTCTTTAAATTTTTCGTACTTGGCATTTATTGCAAATGATATTTGAAAAAGGAATAAAAAAAAAATTGTTCTTTTGAACGTTCGATCGAATAAACGATTTTTAATAATTTTCATATCGATTAGATTATTTATTTATTCTTTTTTTCTTTCTCTCTCTCTCTCTCTCTCTCTCTCTATCTATCTATCTATCTATCTATCTATCTATCTATCTCTCTCTCTCTCCCTCTCTCTCTCTCTCTCTCGATTTTCACATTTGACATCCGTCACTAATCTTATTTATTTGAGATAAATCTCTTATCGATCGATAAATATAAATCTATAATCATCCTATAAATAATTTTCTACGAATGAAATAAAGAATTTGTTAATTGATATCGTATCGTTTGATTTGTTGTAAAATTTTTGAAGAGAATAAAAAAATCATTCGACGTTTTCTTCTTTTTCTTTTTTTTTTTTCTAGGATACAAATGGGTACATTATCCTCATGGTCCTGAGAGATGTCATTGGCAACCAAATATGATAACAATTGGTAGAGATTTAGATGGCATGAATCTTGTAGTTGGACGTGCCAGACATAACGGCGATGTTTTACCGGCTAAAGTAAAACCCGATCATAGTGTTGCTTACGTCTGTCATGATGGCAATGAACACATGAAACATGAATTTGAGGTAATGAAATTATAATCCAAATAACTCTAATATAGCAGTAATAAATATATATATATATATATTTTTTTTTTGTATCTTCGAGATCGAACTTGTTAGAACGTCTAATAAATAGGAGAAAAAAAAACATAATAATAATAATAATAATAATAATAATAATAATAATTTGGAAATAGAAAAATTTAGAAAAATTTTACAGAACGTATGAAAGAAGACGAATTTTGTGATATCAAAAAATTTTTGTACAATTTTTCAACGACAATCAAATTTACTTTTCTTGTTACGATGTTAAAAAAAAAAAAAAAAAAAAAAAAAAGAAGAACAAAGAACATAGAAAAAAGAAAATCTGAAATATCTGAAAAAAAAAGAGAAGATGAAGGCAACGAAAAAAAAATCTAAAGAAAAAAAAAAAAAGAAAAAAAGAAGAAAAAAAAGAAAACGATTTAAAAGAAGAAAAATGAAAAAGAAAACGAAAACAAAAATATTCGTCGAGACTTACCTTTCTCACTTTAGATTCTTATCGTCAAAATAAATAATATGTTAAATATTATTATAATCTTTGAACGTTGAGATCCATGAAATAAACAAACATAGGGAAGAACGTTGTATTTCTTCTTCGATGAAAATTATGCTAATGTTTTAACGCATAAACTTGGATCCCTACTTGTTTGCCATAACACTTTAGAATTCTAACAGGAGGAGAGAAGAAGCATGACTAATTAATTGAATATAGGCCTATCTAATAACAATTTATTTACTCTGTTAAAATATTAAAGAGGATTAGTTAAGCTTCTTTATATCACATACACACACACACACATACATAAGAATATATATATATATATATATATATATATATATGTATGTATGTATGTATGTAAGTATGTATATGTATTTTAAAGTAACTATACCAACTATGTTCCCTATCTCTTTACTCGAGAGACTAACGAAATCGATTAGTACGAGTAATATATAGTAAGGACACTTTGAGAATATCTCTGAACAAACTTTAATAATCTTCGTCGTCTATTCTCTATCGATTAGATTCTAATGCCAGCGGATTTCAAATGGATCCCATCGGGTCATGGACATGTTCCTGAAAATGCTGTTGAAGCTGGTAGAACAATTAATGGTGAAGTTCTTTACGTTGGTCGTACTTATCATAATGGTATCCCTTGTGTTGGAAAGGTATATATATATATATATATTTATATATCATATAATATAAAATATATTATTAATGTATTTTTCTTTTCTTTTTTTCTCTCTCTTTCTTTTTATTAATTTTTTTTCTTTCTTTCTTTCTTTCTTTCTTTCTTTCTTTCTTTCTTGTTTCCTTTTTTTTTCTCTCTCTTTATTAGGTGCAAAGAAGCCATGGGGTTTTGTATATACCATATGACGGACAGGAAATACCTTTCAGACAATACGAAGTACTCGTGCAAAGTTAATTCCAATATTTTAATATATATATATATATATATTCGTTTAATCATTTCGATCAGTGAAATATATATACATATATATTTTTTTTTCTTCCCTTTTTCTTTTACTTCTTATCCCTTCGTAACGTGCGATAATAATAAAAGACAAGAATGAGAGAAAAATTTCGATGGTGTGGCTTTATTTAATAATGTAAAGAAAAAAAAAATCGAAAAATTGAGAGGGAATGATCGACGATCGTCACGTTATCTGCCATTGCCCAAGTAACTTCTAACGACGTGTTTAGTATGCGAAGAAAAGTAATTTATCATCCCCCTTACTCGACTACGGGAAAACGATTTCTCTCTCTCTCTCTCTCTCTCTCTCTCTCTTATCTCTTATCTCTGTCTTTCTTTCTCTCCTTGTGTGTATATGTGTGTGTATATATATATATATATATATATATGTTTATTGTTTCTAATGTTCCTTTAATGAGTACGAAGAATAACTATTATTAAATTCATCTTTCGTTATATATATATATATATATATATATATATATATATATATATAAATAATGGGACGTTAAATCGATCGATTATATTTTAATAAAGATATACTTTCAAAGATATACTTTTTAAATCGTCAATAATGTATTTATTTAAGGGACTTTTCTACGTAAGAATTCTAATGTGATCGATGAAATATTTTTCAATCGATTTAAAATATCAATTAGGTATTGAATTTTTTTTTTTAATCTAACGATCCAAATAAACAAACGATTAAATTTATCACTTTTATTATATTGACGAATATTGACAATAAAAGAAATTATTTATGAGAATGATCTAATCGATTTTTAAATGTATCATTGAAAAACTCCTTAATATGATTAATTATGATTTTCATCGAGTATATAAAATTATTGATCATTAATAATAACTATATTAGCATGAATTCGAATATGTTATAATTTTATATTATTTTAATTTATTTTTAATTTTATATTTTATATATAAAGTGTACGTACTTAGAAAGAGAAAAAAAGAACGAAAAAAAGAAAAAAAAAAGAAAAAAGAAAAAAGAAAAAAGAAGAAAGGAAAAAAATCAAATTGAAAAGTGATCATCGATGATGATCGATCGATCCAATATGACCCACCATCGATCATCGATTTAATAAAGAGAACAAAATAAAAAGAGTGTCAAGTGAATAAACTACGATCGTTCGTAATATTAACAATTGATTTTTATTCATTCAATAATCCAATCTATTTAATTAATTATAATCTATCAATACACATACACACACACAAAGAGAGGGAGAAAGAGAGAGAGAGAGAGAGAAAGAGAGATACATACACATATAGAGATGACGTACATACATATACATATTGAGAAGAAAACATTTAAAATTGAGTGCTACGATACAAGGATACTAAAAAAAAAAAAAAAAAAAAAAAAAGAAAGAAGGAAGAGATTAAAAAAGAAAAAAAGAAAAAAAGAAAAAAAGAAAAACGAAAAAGAAAAAGAGAAATGAAATGAATCCCCAAGGATTGAAAAAGAAATCTTTCGATCATTATTGACGAATAAAACGAGGAATAAAAATAAATCCGGTAACTTTTGTGTCTCAAAGATTTAAAGTTCACCAGTCTCACACTATTCTTTATATTTCCCATAACCCCCCCCTCCGCCTCTTACTATCCCCATGCCATTTCATCCTCCTACACTCTCGTACTCTTCTTATTCGTGATGATGATACAAAAGCTTTGGCCAATAAAAAAAGAAAAATAAAAAAGGAAAAAAAAGGGAGAGGGGGGAGATAGAGGGAGTATATAGCATAGAGAAGAATGAAAGAGAAAGAGAAAGAGAGAGAGAGAGAGAGAGAGAGAGAGAGAGAGCAACCGGTGGTCGTTTTCTCACAGTACACCCGTTACGTGTTGGGCACGTGGCCGTTGCTGGCATTATAACTCCCATGGACGTGGCACGTGGCCATCCGGCGAATCCGCCCCCTTTATCCACCACCACCCCCTCCCCCTCCCCCTCACCCTCTCCCTGTTACTATACCGTCATGGACACGTTTCATCGTAGGGCGAACGAAAGACAAGAAAGATAGATAGATATATATATATATATATATAGAGAGAGAGAGAGAGAGAAAGAGAGAGAGAGAGGGAGAATAAGCCTTTGGTAAGAATAGTTGGAACGTTGTTCAACGCTGTTTAATATTTTGATCGAAGAGAGATGCTTCCCCATAAAGAGGAGAGAGAGAGAGAGAGAGAGAGAGAGAGAGAGAGAGAGAGAGAAAATAAGGGAATAAGGGCTAGAGGATAAGGGGGTAAGGGGATGATGTCCACGTGCAGACGATCGTTCCCTTTTGATTAATTTTCGGTACGGATCGTCGCACGGAACGCGGATGATTTTCGACAAAGGAAAATGTGCGGTGGAAAAAAGGGGGAGGTGAATGAGTTTAAGAGAGAGAGAGAGAGAAAGAGAAAAAGGGAGGGATGAGGAGGAAGGGGAGAGGGAGAAAATGGCAACAGCTGGCACTGAGACGAGAATCGACTAAGGACAATGAACGAGAGCCCTCTCTCTAACCACTTTTTCGACACTAGGGGGTATATATTATATATGGATGTATATGTCTGTATTTGTACGTATGTATATATATATATATATATATATATATATATATACGTGTGTGTGTGTGTGTTATAGTAGGTACATAAACGTTACTACTACCCTTCTTACTTTTTACTTAGAAATCGTTTCTAACTCGTTTCGCGAAGTGAACGATTTGCCTGGAGCAAGAGTGATTATTCTTGAATATGTAATTTTGAAAAGAGAGAGAGAGAGAGAGAGAGAGAGAGAGAGAATTTTTAGGGGTTGGTTTTTGTAATGAATGATCTACAATTTGTAAATCAATTTTCTCTCCTTTTCTTTCTCTCTTTCTCTCTCTCTCTCTCTCTCTGTTTTTTTCTCTTTTCCTTTATAGTTTCTTTTCTGTTTATTTTCTTTCTTTTTTTTTTTCTTTTGGAAGTAAATTTGCATGTTCGTCGATTATTATTAGGTTTTAAGTCTATGCACGTACATACGTACGTACGTATGTGTATGCGCTTTGTGTATGTGTTTTTCGTTCAATCAATTAATCAATCATTGTAAAAAGAAAATATGAGACAAAAATGATTTGACAAACAAACTAATAAACAAACAAACAAACACACACACACACAGATGCACGCATGTACTTCTGTATTTATTTATCTTTTAAAATACAATAATAATATTTTTCTTAAAAGAAAAAAAAAAAATATATATATATATATACAACACAAAATATATTATACACACACATACACACATACACACAAACACGTACATGTGAATACATATATATATATTCATGTGTAATATATATATATATATACAATTTGATTTTTCATTCCATCAATTGTAGAAAAAAAAGAAACGCAAACAAATAAAAACGAGCGAACGAACGAACGAACGAACGAACGAACGAACGAACGAACGAACGAATGAACGAGCACTTCCCATCCCTTAAAAAAAGAACAAACAAAAAAACAAAAAAAGAACAAAAAAAAAGAACGAAAAAATAACAGGAAGAAAATAACGTGCTACGTAATTTCGGCAGGGTTATCCTACCCCTACCCAGCATCACTCCTATACAAGAAGAACAAAAAGTGGATATGAACTATCGCGCGGATTTAATAAACGCGCTCCACCGTGCCGAACTGCACCGCACCGCACCGCACCACACCGCACCGCACCGCACCGCACCGCATTGCATCACATCGCATCGCATAGCATAGCATAGCATAGCATAGCATAGCATCTCTTCTCTCCGTACCGCACCGTACCTTACCGTGTCGCATCACACCGTCGGAAAATAATCCGCATACACACGATTGTCTTTTCGATTCGCTATATCTCACGCTCGAACACATTTTATCTTTCATATATATATATATATATATATATATATATATATATGTACGTACATTCATATGTACAATACATACCTATGTATATATATGTATGTGTATATATATATATATATATATATATGTATGTATGTATGTATACAGAGTCGTATGTGTTTATCGAAATCCTCGTTTATTGCGATTTTCACTGGACACGTCGATTCGTCACCATCGATAAACAACGACGGTGAGGACGACGACGACGACGACACCGACGACGATGACGACGACGACGACGACGATGACGACGACGACGACGATGATAACAACGACAATGACAACGACAACGAGCAGCGGAATTACGCGCCATTGCTGGTCAACTCTTCTCTCTCTCTCTCTCTTTCTCTCTCTTTCTCTCTCTTTTTCTCTTTTTCTATCTCTGTCTTTCACAGTTATCAGAATAGATAATCTGAATCGGAAATTCAGCAAACGATTCTCTTTCTCTCTCTTTCTCTCTCTCTCTCTCTCTCTCTCTCTCTTTCTTTCTCTCTATCTATCTCTTTCTCTCTGTTTAACATTGAAGTTCCAACAATTCAGTACTCTCCAAAAAACATCTGTAGTTTTCTCGAGATTAAGCGGAAAATATTTTTTTAGTATTCAATAAAAATAAATACAAACATGTGTGTGTATATGTATATATATATATATATATATATATATATATATAAAATGAAAGAGAGATAGAGAGAGAGAGAGAGAGAAACGGGAGAAATACATATAAATAATTTAAAAGAAATAAACTATATAAATTAATATATAATGAATATAAAATTCATGTATTTGTGTGTGCGTGTGTGTGTAAAATATAAACTATAAATTTCTAAGCAATACATATATATACATATATATATATATATATATATATATATGTTAGATCCATTTAAGAATATTTAACATGTTTTACGTATTCTAATTAAAACAATTGATAATAATAATTGATAATAATAGTAATATTAATTGATAATAATAGTAAATGTTTTTTTTTTTTTT